TCGATGTGAGGTGGCTCCTCTTTTCCCTCGCCAAGTATCCGCAGTATCCGTGAATAAGGCAGCCATCTATGAAGCTTGTTTCCCACACATAACAATAAAACATTTATTTAAAACAAGCAATTCATTTTGCTATCTTTACAAACCGGTAACTTCTTTACTACTAATCAAAACATAATCAAACATTCTCTGCGCATATTGCCATCTACATAAAAAATTCTGTACGAAATGAAAAGCCTGAAGTGTCACGACTTTTGTTTAGCTTGAATCGGAAAAAGTTGAAATGAGTCATCATGGAAAATTTCCTCAGTAACAGACAATAATTTTGGAAAAGTTGAGATGTCATAAAAAGAAATGCTGTTAGTTTTGATGCTTTGGTTGCATATTCTGGTTTACAGCGGGAATTAATTCCGCTCTTAATACAGCCTTTCAGGGAATCCCACGAGGAGCCTCACACGTAAGTGCTCGTCAAATTGTTCCGCCATAAAAGTGTGTACAGTAAGATAAAATAGAATAAAAATAAAAGTAAGAAAACATTGAGACACATTATCTCTGAAGTCTCACTGGTGGGTGAAGATGCGATGACAGAAGAATAGCATTGTCCGATCAATGGTGTGGAGGCAGTCATGTGACTCCTGCTGAGCTCCTGGAAGTTATTAGATCTAAAATTTGCAACAAAATTAATACGAGTTCTGTTAGTTATCTTTCGGCAGATTTGTATGAATCAAAAAAGAAAAAAAAACTTGTTGCTAAATCTTCAGAGGCGCACTGTGTATATTTAAAAATCAGCATTAAAATACATAAAAAACAAATAAACCTCATTTGTAACTGTTTACCAGTGTGATATGTAGTGCTACATAATCGAAAATAATTATATTTCAGAACTAAGAAATATATTTTATATATGGATAAAAAAAAGTAATTTTTACTTTAAAAGTACCTGTGAAAGAAAATATTTTTGAAGTTAATAATCACACATCTAAAATACAGCGAAAATATTAAACCTAACCAGTCATGTTCGCTCTCGAACGCATTATGTATTTAAGTAGGGATATGAATATATCCTTAAAGACAATTAAAAAATAATATCAAGCAAAGTTCATTAGCATATGGTAATGTATTCAAAATTTAAAATAAATGTTTTTATAGCTTCAACAAATAATACTAAAGATAATGTATCTTTTACAAATATTATATTTTCGTTTTAACGACTATCGAGTTTCTATGTTTTCCGGAAATTCGTAGTTGTACTATAAAGATCCAAAACCATTCATTCGCTATCGCCAACAAATGACTAAGTTAGGGACAAAATTAAAAGCATGTCAACAAAACATTACCCTCAAGTGGTAAGTTCAATATTTGAAAAACTCTTCTGAAAAGTAAATTTTGGGCATTATGCAAACATCATTAAGTATGTGCTATCGCTAACGAATTTACCAGGTTAATCAGTTTAACTACCTCAAATGGCTGCATGAGAAGATACGATCTTTCTTTGTAGGTTTTCGTTGCTTTAAGCATAATCGCCTACATTTTCTTCGCTGTAAAGTAAAGAAAATAATTCGAAATATCATTTTTAAAATTTATTTATTCTGGTATTATTTGCGAAGAAAGAATTAATTGCGAAGAGTTTTTATTCTGTTTCAAACTTAAATAAAATAGTCTGAAATCGAATTCTTTTAATTGATTTTAAAATGACAAATATGTTATTCTTTTCCTCGATGCTAATGAAGATACAGATTTCTTACTTTAGCACGAAATTTGTTACGGTCTTAATAATATTCCTATGGTGCGTTTGGAGAGTTAACATGAAAGATTGTCCGATCGCAATGAAGCCGAGAGGTAAGGTGAATTATTTTTTTTAAGACGTATTTGGTAATTAACAAAAAACTCAGTTCCAGACACACGAAATTCCAGTTATTTGAATAGCTTATTGTATCTTTGAGGCTAAAAAATTAAATTTGTTAGCCACCTTTTTAAAATTTTCTCGAAATATAAATAGTATAAAAAACTCAATACAAAAACCGTACATTTTTCCTTTTAAGCAGCTGTTAAATTACTTAAGATCAGTGAATACGGCATCTGGATTGATCAATTAATTTCTTGAAATATATACTGTATAAAAATTCTTTAAATATATAACTTGACAATAAAAGTCCTTACTCGGCCTTTATTTTTGTAAACATTTGGATTAGACATGTACGTCCAATTATAAAATTATTATATGTTACAAACATTCATGTTTTGGTATCTTCAAATTTTAAAAAATCGATTTTGTTAAAACTACTAAATCTAAATTTTATAGCCCTCCGGTCGTTATTCCATATGTTTGGAAAATTTTTATGTAAAAAATTTAATAAATAAAAATAGAACACAAAACATTTGATTATCGTAAGATAAAAGTTAACCGAGATATTTAATTTCAAAAGTTGCGATATTTCACGTCACTCCCAATTTGCCTTGAGATAGCAAATAAATTAGAATCATTAGCGTCTGATTTTTCACATTAAATGTCTTTCAATGATATTCTTTTGTGATCTGTTAGAGTGTAACATTCTTTAATTTTGTTACAACTGATGTGCCGAAAACATTCTTCAGTTTATAATAGTTTTACAACTTATAATCAAAAACTTTTTTTAATTTATAATTTTGTGCCAAATGGTATGCCGAAAAAATATTTTTAATTTATAATTTTGTTACAACTTACCAGTTGTATTGGTATAGCTAAAAATATTTTTAAATTTTTTTGCCCGCTGTACGCCAGTGTATTTACAAAAGTATGTGTTACATATATGTGTTCAGTAACAATTATGTGTTACAATTTTTAAATTTTCCACTGGCATGTTTCTCTTCTAATTTGTGTAATTGTTGTTCTTTATTTGCTTCGCTATTCATTTTTTGATCATAATTAATGTTCTCTTTTTAACACTATGTTAAATAAATAGAATAATATCATGCCATTTTTCTCTCCCGCAAGGAAATTTTTAAATCACAGTAAGAAAATAAAATGAAAATAAGATTAGGTGTTTAATTTTAGAACCTGCGTAAGCGAATATTAATGTAATTGCTCTATGCCTGTTAAAATAAAAATGGGTTGCTTGTTTAGGCAAAAGAATACAAAGTATTCAAATCTTTCTAAAATTAACAACAATTAATTAATGAATAATTAACCAAAAGAGCGTGATTAACCAAAACAGACAACGATCGTCATCAAAGAAGGTGCTTGAAATTATCACCCCGGACTCTGATGCAGGCCTCACATCTCCAGCACATGGAAGATCTGATGTCTGGAAAATATCGGGCATGTCCAGGACTTCTCCAGCAGCTGACATGATACGTTCAACAAGTTCCTCAGCACTTCTAACGGGAGTTTTATGCACCAATGTCTTGATATACATCCAGAGGAAGTAGTCAATGCAAGTGAGGTCTGGCGATCTTGCTAGCCAATGCACCGGACCACCCCTAACGATCCCATATTGAGGATACGTTTTGAACGTAATTTCAAACACATTCTTTGATGACGATTGTCTGTTTTTGTTCTTACTTCTCGGTTCCCGCTGCACTAAGCATAATAAACATATAGTCTCACCCTATTCATGTCCTACCTTTCTTGTGTTTTGTGTCGTCGCTACCGTGCCAGGAAAGTGATTCCGACCATGCACTGCTGTGTGTTTTTCCAGCTCCTAGGTGTCCTCTATCTCTCCTGAATGTTTGTAACCGATTTTCTGGAACACCCTGTGTATAACTAAACAACGAATTTAGTTTTACATATAAAACATAATTCTAAAATTACATATCTTTCAACATTATATATATATGTGTGTGGGATATTTCGGCATCAAAGTTCAGGCATGGTTTTTGCAGAGCGGTAAGGCTAATCCAAATGAAGAGGCAAGTTGATTTAGCTTTTAATGGTACATCTTTATTCCAAAGCTTTAATTCACTTTTTACCGTAGATCATGCTTTACTTCATATGAAATTATCTAAATCACATATTCAATAGTAGTTTAAACCAAGTACGACTAAAGTTAAACTTTACGCGTCATTACTATTTCTAACAAAGGAAAGATAGATCAAGCAGCAGCGCGATGTATTGCACAGGAGGAGAGGCGAGCTTCTGACGCAAAATGGCGCGCATTCGTTATTTATAGTAGCGGTTACGTAATAGGCTAGCAAATTCTAGAAGGTACTGGGCTAGGGGGAAGATCCTGAATTGCAGAAAATTAATTCAAATTTGCGTGTTCGCGAAGAGCAAAGCCATCGTATTTTTTTATATTTTACATATGAAGTTTTCGCGGAGCCACAGTTTTTTAGCAACTTTTTAGCGTTAGCGTGTGTATTAAAATTTATCTTCTAATTTCCTTAATTTTGCAGCACAATGCGCAAAATTGTTTCTACTTTATATTATATATATATATATCGTAACCCTGCCCAACACATTTATTGGGATCGAAAAGTTCCCTTTTCAGAAAAATGTCTAATTCATTTGCCACAGTACGAGTATCCATTGCATTTAGTTCAACAAATCCTAGGAATTCTTCCCAGACAGTCATTCTTTCGTCATCAAAAAATCGAATACCAATTGACAATTTCTCCCTCCCAGATATATCGCTTGCTTCATCTGCCATTATGCTGTAAGCAGAAACTTTTCTTGCATCTCATACTATAGTGTCTTTCACCACCGATCCACACAAATTGATCAATTCGTTTTGGACTTGCTGTGACATATAAGTAACATTTTTATTACCTTTTCGAAATATCTTTGCAAACTTTTATCTCCTGCTTCGATTCTTAGACGAATCAGGTCCTGATTATTCCTTTCGTCTTACCCCTTAGAGAGAGGCCATGGATTCCACAAAATATGATTGTGGAAATTATTGAAGCTATTACGTTTTGATTTTCTTCCATTACTTTTTGGTGCTCATGAATTAGTCTAACATTTACAGGTCCATTTTCTAGAAAATTCTTGACAGCGATTACTGATACTTTATGCCACTATTTGAAAAATGGTTTTTACAAGCTTCATGCATCACATGATGTGCGTGAATGGCTCAATAATGAAGGAGCCTAAAACAGCTTTCACTAATGCAGAAGCAAGAGGGAGAAGAACACAGTAAGCATAATGCTCCTTTTACACTTTTTGAATATGCGAGCCAAGGAGCATAAACCTTTAGCCACTCGTGTCTAAGCTTTCTTCTCGAATGGAAAGCATCTGCTGCAAAATCATAATTTTCATCAGATTTCAAACAACATTTTAATAATTCCATCTTTAGATGTGTGGCCATTGATGACGAACACCCTACCAAGCTTCTCAAATCATGGTTGCAACATTCCTCGATGGTGTCACTACTACTTGATGTAGATGGAAGTATGGCTTTATCTAAAGTGGTAGCAGAAGCACACGTTTTCATTAATTCTTCGCTTTCGCTTTCACTAATGTCTTCTATTTTCTTCCTTTTCACTTCTGAAATATAATACCAAAATACCTGTTTGGAAATCAATGTCAAAAAACTTATCATAGTGCTTAGGCTTTTCCAGTGTTAGAGTTGACGAGCATTCTTATCAAATTGGGTTAATGCAGCTAAAAGCATTCAGACGTTATCATATAGTATCCATGCACTTACACGCAGTCACTTATTTAATCAATACAAAAAAATTCACAAAAGAATTTTAGATTTCTGCCGCCTTAGTAAAATTTAAATCTAAATAAAATTTCACAACAAGGACCTATTTAAGGTGTCTCCCGCATTTAAGCCAGAAAGGCATTCATAATACTAAAAAATATAAGAAACAGAGAAAACTTTTCGCTAACATGTTAGCTGAAATTTAAAAAAAAAAGTTTTGCATTAGTTTAGGGGGGTGCAAGTGAATCTCCCTGCAGCTCCTGGCATGCTTCAGCATTTAACAGAAGACTTAAAAACATCTAATCAATTCATTGATAAGGGAGATAATTCGTACCTTGATCCAGTTAAATGACTTTTAGATAGAATTCAGAATCGAAAGCCATTTAAACCTGCATGTTACCAGACAGATTTTTTTATTTTAAACACGTACTGGAAGGAAACGATACTGGAGTTATCACCCTCATATTCACTGAGGAAAGAGACAATATACACAGTATATACGAGTTGAGCGTATATTCGCTGAACCAAAATGTTGTAACAGATGCAGAATAAAATTTTGCTGTTATTTGACGTGTCTTGTCTTTCATCCTAAATGTGCAAATTTCATTTTAATTTTAGAAAAGAACTGTGTTTGATTTGACTATAATGGTGTATAATTCTTTGAAATCTTTTATAACCCCAACAAAGTTTACTTTACACTCCCAGCATTAATGTGGCAATCTATAGGATCTAAGAATTATTCTCAGTAAGTTGAACCAGGTAGTAACGTAGTCTATATTTATAGTCTAAAGTAGTCTATAGAGTTTGATACTAGATTTTTACTTGATAGAATTTTATTTCCTATTCCTTCAGTATGTCAGTTATGGACTTGAGTTAACAGCGTCCGAAAAATTTGCGCTTGCGCAAAAATCTCAAAGTTTGCACAAAGTCTGCTTTATTTCTAAACTTTATTATTTTCTAAGGCTGCAAATGTCCACTTTCCGGTTTTGTCACATTTTCATCGCCGATTACAATTGCAGGTTCTTTTGTTTCTCTCTTAGGATATGAAAAACGTGGTACACTCTCATATATTAAAGTACCTCCAAAAGGAAAATTATATGAAAATTACCCTTTTACTAAATAGAATTACAACTGGATGATCTAAGTGATGATATGCTATCCATTTTGATAATCCTATTACTCAGGCTGTGTTGATGTATAAATCTAACTGCCTGAACTATTGCTTTGGCCTTCTCTTAAAAAACACTGTTGTGACTACGTAAGTGTCCTTTCCATTCATAATCTATCTGATTATATGCACATCCAACTTTCGTTTCTATTTTTGATCCATCTGTATAAATTACTGTACTTGCATTTGATATTGATGAGCTCCTGTTACTTTAATTTGATAGTTACTCCTATGCCTTGAAAAGATGGATGGAGATCTAGATGGTTTATTGCTTCTTCTTATTTTGATGGTAAATTGTGTGAATCTCCGAAAGAAGCTGTTATACGTAGTTGTTTAACCTATTTGTTGCAATTGCTTCTATCTTTGTACTTATATGAAGTAGTAAAAGCCTTGCAAGGACGCTTATTGCACTGTTGAAGTCGTGCTATAGGCTTTTGTTATATTTAATGCAAAGGGACTTCGTATGCTGAGCAGATGTTTGACTATTCGTCCTTGCATAGAATGAGCCCATACTTCTGCACTATATGTTACCATTTTCTATGACTGTTGCGTATAGAGTCTTTTGTATATGTGAATTTAGGTTCCATTTATATCCTTGCATTTGATTTAGATGCTTAGCGATGTTCATGGTTTATTTTTTAAGGTAGAGTAGATGTGGCATCCACGTCAATTTGGCATCAAATGTAAGTCGTGCGTATTTGAGTTCTTTTAATACACGTATTCTTTCTCCATTTAGTGGGGTCAGTGAATAGGCACATATAGGATGGAGGTGGGCAGTAGTATGTGTAAGAGAGAGAGACTCCGAACAACAAGCTGACAACTAGGGACGGCGGACGTCACCCGAATCAAATGAATTATCTTTAAATATCTACTTTACACTAATTTTCTTTCAAACGCGTTCATAAACAGTATTTCACATTTAATCGCTAATATTAGTAAATTTTTCATTTATTTCGCAAAATCGGAAATTGTGTATGACTTATACAATATTTTAAATTTGTGTTGTACTTTTGTGTGTGTATAGCCTTTTTTTTTTTTAAGAATTGCTTACGCCCCATAATAAAAATAATGCTGAACACAACTGCAACCACAGTAAAAAAATCGTAGAAGAACCTGATTATCACCTGTTTTGATAAGACATGGGCTGAAAACCTCAAGTTTTAAGTAGCCGTCTAACAATATATATCTCTTCATAACCTTTCCTCTCTGTAAGACAGCATGTCCAATTTAATATCTCAAGTGATGTACATAGTCCTCACAATACAGCGGGACGAAAGGGAAAAAGCTATTTCCAGTCTTAAATGATATATTTAAAAAGTGAGTAAATGCATAAAATCTTATCCAATATAATAGTTCTTCTTAAGAAAATAGAAGGAACATAATAAAATCCTGCTGGCAGAAGAATATCTATCGTTTCTTTCACGAAAGCTTGGTGTATTTTTTTCTGCAACTACCTTTGGAACATCTATAGATAAGTTTTCACACTAGCGATTTCCGGAACTGAATTCAAATGAATGTTTGTTAACTTGAACTTGTTTTTGGTGGTGATTTGTTCCCTTTCATAAGTGATAAAAGTTGTTCACGCTGACATATACTACCAAAGTTGTTCACACTGACATTTGTACACCGAAGACGGAAATCAAACATAATACAAATTTGTGTCTTTTTTAGACATCGCACGGGCAAGTATTTGAGAAATTTAGGGATGCCCAATTCATTGAATCTTTGTTTTTAGAGTTACTGAGTTTGCAAATGGGCTGGCACTTTTTAAATGTCGGTTGAGAGAATGTTTTTGTAAAGATATCATCCCAATTTTTCAGCAACGGAGATTGTATATACTCCTCGATATTGTGTGAAGTTCCGATTTTTATTAATTTAGTATAATTATACATTTATTTCTATTTTCTCGAAGTGAATTGAGGGCCATGAACGAATGAGTTAAAAGTCGCAAGCGGCCTTCAGGCCTCGAGTTTGACATTAAGAAAAATGATCATTGGGTTCTCCTGAAACCCCTACGTGCCTAAGGCACCAGAATCTCTTAATAGGGTCCTGAATGTTATGTTAACGCAATTACAACATTATCTACATTTCTGAACTTTGTACTAAAACTATGGAAGAAAATCTGAAAAAAACCTTTCAAAAAATATCCTTATGCGCATGTTAGGAAAAATGGCTACATATATTGAATGGTAGGAAAACCCTAGAATTGCAGAATGGAATATTTTGAGAAGGTGCATACAAATGATGTCGAATTAAATAGTTTTTCAATTATATATTGACTGATTAATTTTAATCAGCATCTAAAGAAACTTTCATAATGGTACATAATAGTTTTTAGCCTTTGCTGTTACATAAAACAATCACATTTATACTTTATATTTTCAGGAAAAGAAGATCAGAACATGGCTGAAATTATTTTTGGTGAAACAGCTAAGTACCATTTAGTACCGTATGGTCAGAAGAGAGCAAAGTCTGCGTGCTTCTTACTCAAACCTGAGGATTTCGAGCAAATAAAACTTCTAACAGAAGACGTTAGAAAAAGAAATATTAGTAAGAATTTTTATATAATTGAGAACAACATACATATTTCAGAATGCTTTTATATACATGTGATTATATTACGTACAAAAAAAATTAATTTGCAATTACTATTGTTTTGATTCTAATTTATAATGAATTATTTCGTCGATTCTAGATTATGGACATTCTTCTATACACTTACGAAACATTCAAAGAAGTAATACTTGCAGAAAATTTCATTGAATGTCTTAATTTTCTTTCCACTTTTACATTTACAGAATGCATACTTGCTTCGTGTTAATTAATGAAATTTATTTACTTCTCCAAAATTAGGGACTAGCATGACCTGAAGCAGTCTTTGAACAGCCTTAAGCCTTATTCTTACTTATTAATAGATCCTCCTCAGTATTCCAAAAGTTTGATTGCGATAATATTTTGATTAAGCCCTTTTTCCTTTCATTATTAACCACGCAATTTTCAGTGCATTCTCTAAAATATCTTATAAAAACTTACTTTGTAATACTTAGCTTAACACTTAGGCCATCTTACGGTGCAGTTCAAGGTGCAGAAATGTTAAGTAGTTTTAATTTGCCCAGTTCTCCAACGATTCGATATTTGTATATCTTTTTTAAAAGATTTTTGAGTTACTTTGTATGGTCATCGGAATTTTTTCGATGAAGTTGAAGAAATCCACAATTCCACTTCCCGGGATTCGAACTCCGGGCCTCCGGAAACGAGACAAGCGTGTTTCCAGTTACACCGCGAAGGCTTAAGGAAATGATTGAGAAATCCTTATATAAATATTGCTACACTTACTCTATAACTTCTGGGGTATAAAAGAACTTGAAATTTGCTATAAACAATCTAACGGCTACCCACAGAAATTAATGATCAACTTTGGGAGTTATCATTCTTGATATTACTTTACTCGCAATGAAAGTACAACTCAAATATAAAATTAACTTTATTAACCACGACTTGCAGATGTTACAAAATGTAAAATGGTGATCTCCGCCAAAACAACATCGCGGCAAAAACATCGTGGAAGAAAACTCCTCGGAGAAAGCAACTCAAGGAAACACGTCGTTGTACAAAATATCGTGGGAGAAAAGAAAGCAAGGAGGAAACATCGCAGTTCTAAAACATCGAGGTACAAAATATCGTCGTCGAAAAGTTGTTCAAAAACATTGACATCGAAAATATCGGGGTAAAAAATATAGCAACTACAAACCATGGCATGATGATAACATCGCAAGCATGCATTTTTCAGGCTTTAAAAGCTATATATGCATATTCGCGTAATAATTTGTGAGTGCCAGAGGGAATTATAAAAATATTTGCTTTTATATTTCATATATGTTATCTAGCTAATATGTTTTTGCTGAAAAAGTAAGAATTAAACTTAAGCATTTAAAAACTGAAACTTGTATAAATATTGATAGTATGAATGTTATTTAGCTCACATGTTTCTTTATAACTAACAGATCTAAATGGTTAACCGCACGTTATACATGAAAACGTTAACGGCACTTTAAAAAGACGAATAAACTGAAAAAAAAAAGTTTAATTTCCATCAAAAGAATTTCAGATCAACAAAAATGAAAGAAAATAATTTTACAGTTTGATAATAATCAATTTCGAGAGAGGAAACCTCATGCAGATACACATATTCATATATATAATCTTTTTACTATATTTTTCATGAAAAATTATCAATAAAAATCATAAAAGAGATTAATTAATTAATGACTTTTATTAGTTAATTATGTAAATTTAAAATTATGTTAGCTGCTATAAGTAGTCTTAACCTTCTACTCATTTTCAGTTTTTAAATGCTTAAGTTTCCTGCTTACTTTTTCAGTAAAAATTTATAAGTTAGCTCAAACTTAAAACTTAAAATATTCCTTACTCCTTCTTGCACTCACAAATAATTTATGCGAATATGCATTTCCAAATTTTAAAACCTTTAAAAAGCAAGCGTCATGCGATGAGTTTTAGCCGCTTTACTTTTTATCTCGATATTTTCGGTGACGATGTTTTTAAACTGAAAAGTTTTTGAAGCTTTATTTTCGACGACGTTATTTTGTACCACTGTTTTTTAGAACTGCGATGTTTTCGCTTTGCTTTCTTTTTTCCCACGATGTTTTGTACCACGAGGGTTTCGTCTGGCACTGTTTTTCCCGCATCGTTTTCATCCACGATGTTTTCGCCTGTAACCAAAATGATAGCAAGGTAAAATCAAGATCATCTCGTCAAGTTTACAATAGCAGACGATAAAGTTACCCTTTCGCTAAAGTTACGACTAAAACAATATTCTAATTCAAATATTCTAACACATCAGGTCGAAATATAAAGCTAACTTTTTTAAACACTGATCAAGCTCAGTCAAATCAGCTCCATAGCTTCTTCACAGCTCTACATGCAATTTCTGCAGGCTAGGTTTCAAAATCACTGAGCATTCTCCAGTAATCCAAAGTATAGTTTCCTCACCAACAGGAGTTTTGAGGGATTTATACTGAGATTCCGTTGTCTGCGCCAGTCCTCAATATCTAAAGCAAAATCCTAGAGCTTGGAGATGGTGTTATTGTTTCGGATAGAGCTGACGTCGTATCATTGGTGTAGCAAGCTAACATAGAGTTACGAACCAATTTATCTCCAGGAAAATCGATTACGTAAAACAGTTAGAGAATGGGTGCAAGACAGGAATCCTGGGTCATCCGTGCAGTGATGTTTTGAATGCTGAATAGACATTTCTTTGACTGACACTAAAAGTTCGGTTGGTAAAGAAGGAATTCAGAAAAAAAAATTCCCATTTATCTTAATCAGTATGTAGATCAACCTCTTAATGCCAGACGTGGTCTAATGCTTTCGCCACTTCTAGCATAAAGAGTTTCTTACATTTCTATGGAGCCGAGCTGCCGCGATAAATTCAACCAGCCTAACCAGCTGCTTTGAAGTAGAGAGGTGATTTTGAATCCCTACTGTCGAAGGGAAGTATCTGAAGACATGGATTCATTCTTTTTTAAGATAATTGCATTCGTAAATCTCATGCGGTTACGAGATATCTTTAACTTTATATTAAACTGTTTGTTATTCAGATCAGAATGAGAAATAAGGCATACAAGGAAATATTATAATTAAATTCAAATTTTTATTGAAATTCAAATGTAATGTCTTACACTTTACAATAGTTACATTTGCCGAACTGAATGAAAGTTTGAGATTAAAAATTGTAAAAGAACTAGTGTTTGAGTACTAAAAGCAAATGAGCTGCGACATCAGTTTGTTTTCTATGTAACACGTGTAATAAATAAGCAATCGCTAAGCTATGTAAATCACAAAATTTTGATGAGTTTGTTTCAAAGTTGCAGATTTGAAAAAAGAATGAAAAAGCTATTTCGATAAATCAAGAAAATTATTTACATCTGCTAGAGTATTGGATCAAAATATATCCGAATAAACTAGATACAAATTCAGTGTGAACTTACGACTGGAAACACATATATTGACTGTCTTTAGTGATGTAGCATTGTTTTGGAGACCTCCTAAAACTTCAAAATACTGCGAAATTTTGTCGGGAAGATCGCATTTAGCAATAATATTTAATTATTATTTAGCGGTCGCATTTAAAATTCCATATTTAGTTTTATGATTCCTGAACTATCTATAGATATTTAGCAGGTAATTTTAGCTGTTATCGTTCACTCAGAATATATCAATTCAGCTACATTTTATTCAAACCAGTCGAGATTAAGAGTTTGACGGAGAGCGTTTCTGTATATATAAAGGTAAATAAAATGCATTCCCAAAATAAAGAATACTAATGAAAAAAAATGTAGCTTAATAAATGTAGCAAAACGCATACATTATAGTCTATAGGACTAAGATGTAAGTCTACTTTTTGATATTTCGTAGCATATTTTTCTTATGGGCGATAGCAGCTAAAATAAAAGATTATCTTCATGAAGAAAATTCAAATAATCCATGTTGTATTTGTTTATTGTAGAATAATTCAAACATCAGTTGCTTTAATTTCCAGATCCAGGATCGTCACTCTATGTTTGGACGGCACTCCAATGTTGCTCGCCTGAAGAATGGATAAAGCTCTATTTCTATTGGATAAAGCAACGCATAACTGTGCAGCTGAGAAGGAATTATGATTCTGAGTATGCAAAAGATAATATATGCCAAACTATTGTCTTAAAGATCAACGCCAACAAAACAGCTCCAGAAATGATCCCTGTTTGTTCTTTACAATGTTATTTACCATTCATTTGTCAGCAGAAAAGGGGAAATGCTGCGCATAACATCAGGTAATAAAGTCTTCTAAACATAAAAGAGTCAATTACTATTCTAAATCTCCCGTTCTACTAGACCGATTGTCGAAATTTAACTTGCGTTTTCCATATCTCGAAAACGCGACTTAGGATATACATTAGATTTATATATAGCATTGGTCTAACGTATTTTGACGTATTCTGACACAAATCGGACCTTTTTCTGAAATAACATACCAAATGTTTTTTTTTTTTTTTTCAATATTTCAATTCTAAAACTCAAATTATGTCAAAATGAAAAGATTTTAAAAATCCTACGCGTAGTTTTTAAAAAAAATGGCTTTCAAAATTATAGCTCCTCCATTTTAATTGAATTTTGTATGTATTTATAATATCTCTTTTTGTTATTAAACTTATATGATTCTTCCTTTCACATTTAGAAGTTAAGGTTCATTCCAAATAAAATTCGTCCATTTTTTATGATTTATTTTTAAAATTTGTCATTTTATAATTTTCTCAAAAAACAAATTTGAATTATAATCTATAAAATTTTTACAATCATCTTAAACTAGACGTACTTCTAAGCAGACCTACAAAAAACTAGAGATTTTTCTTCAAAATTTCCGAAATATACGCGAATTTACATTTTGATGCGTTTTGAAGTTTGGCATATTCGTTATAAACAACGCCAAATGTAGTTTAGGCTCTTCGTTAAAATTAATTGAAAGTGTGAACGATGCACCTTTTTTTTCCGCTCGTGAACAGTGAAAAAAAAGAAAGAATAAAATCTGAAAGTTTTCAAATTTTATACTACGCCCAAAGGGGCTTTTTTTTAACGTTTTTATGTTACCTTTATTTATTTATTAAATATTATGTTTTTTGCACTTAACTCGTAAAATTCAATTCAACAGCAGTATCACAAAATAATTTAAAAAGAGCATACCTTTAGAATCTCCGATACACAGTCTCGCGCGATGGAGATTTTTTTTTCGCACAGTATTGCCATTGCTCGCTTTGAAATCATTGAGTTTGTTAATAAAAAATTCGTTAAAGTTTTGCAAAAAATGAAATAAATAATAAAACAAATTCCAAATTAGGCCTTCCAGATGTCCATATTGAGGTGGAGGGTTACGATATTCAAAATTTGACCGCTCTAGGTACCGTTGTTTTATCACAATGCGAGAAACATACATACATTTATACAGATTCTTCGTTATTTAATTTCTTTAATAATAACACAGGGCGTTAATATTTGCTGATAACAATACGAAAAGTAATACAGCCTTTTAAAGTTTTCAACGCAAAATGCCAAAACGAAATTAATAGCCCTTCTGTGCTAACGCCCTTTGGGCTAAAATTAGGTTGCTATAAATTAAGAATTTCATGAAGTGAATTATTCTTGGCGCAAACTGAAAGAAATGCCGCAAGATAAATTTTTAAATTTCTCCATAAATTTCTCACAAAAATTACAAAATCTAATGTCTAGGCATAATGTGAATCGTAGAATCGAAATATAGAAAGACGTTGGTACGGTATTTCAGGAAAAGTCTGCTTTTATGTCCAAGTACCTAAGTTAGAACAATGCTATAAATAAATCTAATATATATCCTAAGTGTGGAAAACGCAAGTTAAATTTCGGCAATCGGTCCAGTAGAATGGACCGTATAAAACTTCCTTTTTCTCGACGGGGGGGAGAAGTGTATTCCTGTTAATGGAGTGTCACTTGGAGCCAAATATAAACGCTGCTGCGAAATCTAACTAGATGGTAGCAACCTTAGCGATATAAAAAACTTCTTGAAAAGAAAAAAAAAATTTATATATAAATGAACATAATTTACGTAATATTTCATGCTCATCACGTGAATGTTGTGAATGTTTCATGCTCATCACGTGAATGTTAAATTAATTCTGAAGTTTTCTGATTTTTTGAAGTGAAAACAGATCGCTCTGTACATACGGAGAACAATTTCTTCCTTCTTATGTACATAACTGTCTGTTTTCGCTTAAAATCTAAAGGGAATGGCACAAATTTTGGCACTGCGCACAGTTTCAACAAGTACTAAATAACATAAGCTTAAAGAAATTAGAAAGATGCTTTCAGAATCTGTAAGGAAAACTGTATTCTTGGAAAAAACAGGGAGTCCAAGCAATCACTTCATGTAGTGTTAGATAATTTTAGATACTGTGTGTTAGATAGTCAGGCATTCTGATATTACAAATTTAGTTCCCATCTGAAACTGTAGCTATATTTATAATCTGCATTTGTAATCCAATTTTTGAAAAATGCAGAGATTTCGTCGTGCAGGTTCCGTATGGCTGGCTGCCAAGGGTTTCATGGCGTGGAACAAACACAGCTCAGAAACTGGAATATTCATTCCTTTTGATGAGTGGGGGCATGTTCTTCTAGAATGCTCTTACCTGAGAATAATACCGGGCGAGTGATGGTGACAATTGTTCGCTTTACTGTTACTTTTACTTGTGCACGCCCAGAAGAGAAGATTACAAACCGCGATCTCCATCGTCATGCGTGATAGATATAAAAGAACCTGTAGACATGTAGAGACATTAGGTAATTTTGGAAGCAGGCAAGATGAAAAATGAGCAACGCCTTCGCCGGGAATTGGACCGCGAACCTCTGGAATACACGCTCAGCGTGCAGACCACTACATCACGAAGGCGTGCCAAGAAGGTGGGAGAAATACCTTATAGACATTACCAATCTATCTTTGCTAATAAATTTTTTATCTATCAAGGACAACATATTAGCAGTCTTCTTTCTCATTAAGCTTATTCTACCATCATCACTAACTAATACTTCTCTACATCTTTTAATCGTCTATTGAGTCGTCTCTACGATTTTGGAGAAGAAACTATATAGTTTATGGCATCAGTCTGCATGCAAAATACAATAAATCAAACCAATTAACGTATGATGTATGTAAGTATTTATCATATCATTCCTGCTTTTATTTCAATTAAATTACTACAGTCAAAAGTCGTTAATCCGGACTCGTCGGGACTTCGGCGATTCCGGATTATCGATTTTTCCGGATTATATATCATCAGTTTAAATCTGGTAAGATGGCATGCAAAAATTACAAAATTAAAAATATGAAACCGTAATTTATGAAATAAAGAACAATTATGATCTAAAGGGTATCAAAATTTAAAAAAAGAAAAAAACTTAATATTTATTTGTTTACTTTTATTAAACATTTCCTTCAATGTAAGTTGCTTCGTTTCATGTGATAATACTTTCTCTTTAATTCTATTAAACAGACATAATTTCTTGTTTAGTTACAAAGTTCCGCTGTTCAAGTCCTATAATTGCTGTGTTGAGAATACCGACTAATTTGTCAATCGAAATGTTTTCGTTTTCAATAACCTCTGGGTCACTTTCTTCACTATCCGAAGCGAATTATAATGACGAGGAACTTGATTTAAATCATATCAAAGACGGAGTACATCGAGATGAAATACTAAACTTAGTACAGAATTATAATCCAAATAAAAAAAAAAACATCTGCTCTGAAGATAAGGATAGTGTTGACAGATCAACTTTCCAATCCGCGGCGTGAAATTGATAAACAGATTTCGGATTTCAAAACATACTTTCGCTTTGTAGATACAAATTACGTATTAGTAAATATATATTGGAAATTCTATTTGACATAATCTTTCTAATCTATCATAATCTAATAATAACGTTTCTCCCCCCCCTCTGCCGCAGAGCAGCATGAAATTGATAAACAGATTTCGGATTTCAAAACATACTTTCGCTTTGTAGTAAATATATATCGGAAATTCTATTTGACATAATCGAAAGTTCAAGCTTACTTTTATAAAATTGCTCTAACAGTCTGCAAAAAATGATAAGCCGGATCCAATTCGAAGATTGAGGAACAACGCAATCTGCAACATTAACTGAATTAGATAACTTTAGCTTAGCGTATAACTCCGTTACACATTAAACGCGCATGCGCACAAACATATTCGCAGCCGTAAGGGTCTTACGCGCTCTCGTAAACGCCTGTGCGCATGCGTGAACGCGACGCATGCGCAGAAAGTTTGTAGCTTTGAGGTCCGGATTATAGATCATTCCGGATTATGGGTGTCCGAATTAACGACTTTTGACTGTATTACAATTAAGTATTGTTTTAGTTTCGTGAGCTCTTTAGTATAATTTGATAGATTATTTTCTATAATTAAGCCCTTTATGTATGTAAATTAATGGTAATTTGTTCTTAACAATGCCGGATATCTTAGCACTGATGCCATAAATCGCAAGCTTTTCGCTATCTCCGAACAATACGTTTAAAATCCATTATTGCATTATATATGTCTGAGCGGTTAACTTATCGATTTTCCGGAAGTACTTAAAATACAAACTACGGAGTAAGTTAGTCTTAAATGGTGAAAAACGAGCCCAAGGAAAATCATGGCCAATCAAAAATCTTAGGACAGGCAAGATGATAATTTTCATGAAATACTCTACTTTTCGGAAGCACGACAAATCTATATATATATATGCATGATGAAGCATGTAATATACAATATGTTAGATACTATGTGTATGATAAAAACTCATGTAAATAAAAGAAGATCACCTAGGTGTTATAATTTTTCCTCCGTGTCCAAATAACTGGCAAAACATTCTATTATAGAGCATCTTAGGATGAGAACTTTCCAAATGTCCCTGAAACGATTTCGGTGCGTTTTTGTCAAAATTCGTAAAATAAAATGTAATCTTTCCGTAAAATGGAATCTAAATGATGCATACATTTTTAATAATTAAGCTTATAGGTTTTTTTGGAATGCAGAAAATATAAGATATTAATTGTAAAGGGACGGCTTAAACAGTGGCTAAAAGTATCCCTAAAAGAAATGTTCCTTTCTTTGTCCGTTTACTTATTTGCAGTTGCATTTTATAGAAGCAAAGAATAATTTGAATCATTTTAGATACTTTCTAGATCACTGTCGTAAGCCTTAAACCATATTTCCGCTTCCAGCCACCTCAAAAATCTATTCAATCTTATAAACGGTTGAAGAACATTTTCATTAGGGCTTATATAAGAGTATTGCTATACATTCCACTGAGGCTGTATAAGTATCAAACTGATCAAACTGAAACATGACAGGATTAAGAACGCTTTTAAAATTCCTGAAATAAATCTGGAAAGAGACGTGATCCTATTCTTTGATTTTCAGCATGACTGGACTTACCTCTTGAGGCCTTTTGATTCAAGTTGAACTAACCTCATCAACAATTCTATTTGAATGTTTATTAAAGAAATAAAACTACGATCTTTAACTTTAATTACAGCTTAAAAAGCATAAGACACTTTTCCAGTGCTAAATCTGACGTGCAGTAAAATGAGCGACCATGGTGAGTTCTGTTTCCTCAAAACTTCTGCCTTCTTTAGAACGCTGCGTCTTAGTACAGCGTTTCTCAAACTTTTTTCAACTAAGGATCACTCTTATAAATCCGAATGATCCTATGGACCACCTTACTCTTCTTCCCTTCAAAAGCAATTTTTCTCAACATAAGTTACTACCAGTGTACTTATATTTTTAAAATATAATAAATTAAAATTCATTTAATTTTATATTGGCATTTAGTAATTTAGTAAAAGAAAATTTATGTTCATTTTTAGTACTTCAAGGATTTTAGAGTCTAGATAATCCACATTTTACTAATTAAAAGTTAAATAAATATTGGTACTCACTTAATGAAATGGATGAGCGTGCCGATTCTTGCACAAATGCTCTATGTTTGGATGTATGCTGGTAGGAAGCACTAAAGTCATAGTGCTTTAAATCCCTCTTTTGTTGCTAAAAATATCAAATCCGTAGCTATGGTAACTAATAATAAATTTTATGAAATCTCATTCTTGAGAGAAAAATTAACAGACAATTACCATGTGTAATTTCTAAATTGTTAAGATTTTGAGCTATAGTGTAGTATATGCATTTAAATTGGATTTTATTTTTTGTCATTTTTGGAAATAGAGGCAGAACAGAGGGCAAGATTTGAGGATTATTTGATGTCCGTGTATCACAGATTGTGAAACACTGACTTGTGGAATGCGAATCAACTGAAAAACAAAAAACGAACTTTAGTAGAAAACTAAATCAGAAAGACGTCGTCTAACGCAGTAATCGCACAAATGACCGGGAAATCTTTAAAAGTAAAACTTAGACCTCATTCTGAATACAGAGAAATAAAGCTAATGATTTTTCTAGTAATACTTGAGGCGGATCAAAACCACTAATAGCACGAAATGCCAAGTGATTTGTGTATCACTGAAAGGTATATCACATATTGACTTATTTTATAACTCATATGATTTTTCTTGGGAATTGCTTTTATACTTCAATTTTTAGTTACAGGAAAAAAAACGAAACCAAGAAAAATCATGCCCAATCAAAAATCTTAGAACGGGCAATACAAAATTTTTCATGAAATACTCTACTTTCCAGAAGTAAGAGAAACGTATTGTATATATATATGCATGATGAAGCATGTAATATACAATATGTATATACTATGTGTATGATAAAAACTCATATTAATAAAATGAGATCAACTAAGTGTTATAATTTTTCGTCAGTGTCCAAATAACTGGCAGAATATTCTATTACAGAGCATCTTAAGATGAGAACTTCCCAAATGCCCTGAAACGATTTCGGTACATTTCCATCAAAATCCGTAAAAAAGAAAAACGAAGCCCATTAAACTTATATTTAGAACAAAATAATTACAAAACAATTGAAAATGCATTACTATACGCATATTATTAAGAGTTTTCAAGAGAATAAATAATTTTGTTTGCTTTATATTTAGTTTTTAATTTATTAGAATTTTGAAATCTGAATACAAAATGTGTACCTCTACTGGGTGATTCTAAATTTAAATTGCTTTTACAAATTAAAAGGGGTGATAGTACTCATTCAAAGGAGCAATAATTACCATAGAACATAGGGTCGTATTGGACTCTGAGAGGCAGAAAAGAGGAATATTAGAATTCCCAACCTGAACTTACAACAGTATTGGGAGAGCGAATGAACGAGACCAAAAGTTGCACAATTAGTTTAGTGAAAAACTCACAGAGAGTGCACAAAACGGATAAAGCCGAAAACTCGGCGTTCGAGTGTTAATTCGAGCTCAGACTTTGATGGCAAACACTCAAATGCACATCTTTGGTTGGCAAGGTCTCAACTTCGCAAACGATTGCAACAAGTTAATTATCTAAATTATTAGGGGGAAATTATCTATTAGGGGGAAAAACTGCTACTTTGATATTAAGTATCCCAAGATAGCAGTTTTTTCCCCTTCGCCATCTTCTATCCTGTCCTCCTGGACTAAATATGCTGCGTTCATTCTACTTGAAGCGTCCTTCTATGACACACGAAGTTCTCACAGCCGGAACACAGCATGAACTTTTCCTGCTAATCTCGGCATACAGCGGAAGTTGGAAACTTGGCTGTATGCCGAGTTGATAATATTCAACCCCTTGATTAGATAATTAACTTAATTGATTAAGTCCAGGAGGACAGGATAGAAAATGGCGAAGGGGAAAAAACTGTTATCTTGGGATACTTAATATCAAGGTAGCAGTTTTTCCCCCCAATAGATAATTTCCCCCTAATAATTTAGATAATTAACTTGTTGCAATCGTTTGCGAAGTTGAGACCTTGCCAACCAAAGATGTGCATTTCAGTGTTTGCCATCGAAGTCTGAGCTCGAATTAACACTCAAACGCCAAGTGTTCGGTTTTATCTGTTTTGTGCACTCTCTGTGAGGTTTTCACTAAACTGATTGTGCAAGTTTTGGTCTCGTTCATTCGCTCTCGTACATTGTTTAAGTTCAGGTTGGAATTCTAATATTCCTCTTTTCTGCTTCTCAGAGTGGAATGCGACCTTATGTTCTATGGTAATTATTGCTCATGTAGATAAGTACTGTCATCCCTATTAATTTATAAAAACAATTTAGAATCACCCTGTATATGAATGGGATTTAGTTTCTACAATTTTTAACTCATTATTGGTAAGGGAAGCTTATATTTATTTCAATGCCATGCAATCCAAACTTCTTTTCAAATTTCGAATTTTGCAGTACCTCAGATGGTGAAATAAGTAAAATTTCTACGCTGTCTACAATAACACTGATTGATGACAAATTTACCAGGACTTCGGCTTCGAATTTTAGCAGAAATAGTTCTGCATCAAGTACGGATCATACCGCATTCCCAGATCTCACCTCCAACACAACTGATTTCAACATGAAGATGGATGTAACATCAACCAAGGCAACCAAATTCGAAGACAGCTTACCTTTTAGTACTGTTTCAAGCTTAGCACCGAAGCCTGGATACTGCATGCCTACGGAAACGCCATTTCGAAATTCTTCTATCAAATGGCCTGAAACCAAATTTGGAGAAACTGCCGAAGTTTTATGTCCTCGAGGCACCTTTGGTAAGCCCATTAAATACCTTACGATATAATTCCGTTATGTACTAGGGGAAATGAAGTCTAATTGTAACAATTTTTGGAAAATGTTTTACAGTTTTAAATGTATTTATGATTTCTTGATTATAAATGCTTTTACAGCTTAAATATTCATTCATAATATGCACAAACATTTAAACAAAAGATTTGAAAGAATTCGGATGTTAACTCTGCAAAAGAAAGTTTATTGTGTTTTTTTTTTCTTCTTTTTGCTCTCGTTGAGCTCGCAGTTTATCTATTTATTCTTGGACTCACTGCTACTGTAACGTTTTTCATCCTTTTAGCTCACACAACTTTTGTGACATTGATAATCATTGTTAAGCACAACTTGTTTGACATTTACGTCACATAAAATTCATCAGAAAAAATCATAAGATTTTTAAAGAGAGCATAACTATAGAATTCTTGATACAATGTTAGGAGTTGCCACATAATTTTTAGCTCAGAATGACAATAGTTCTAGAACCTCACTTTTGCGTCGAGTCACTTTGCAAAAAAACAACCGCTGGAGTGGCCAGCCCCTAAAATAGTTACTATAAAAAAACAAAAAATATATAATGCTTTTGATAAATCCAGCTAATATCATTTCATGGCTCCAGCTGATAATCAATAAAAATAGATTTTAAAAAACTAAGTTTTATTGCTTTAAATCGTTTAGTTTGTTAATCAGAAACAGGCAGATTAAACTTAAAAGAAAATTTAAATATCTTACGCTTCGCCAAAGGCAGCAAACGGGCGCGTGGAACGTAAAAGTATTTTATCTCGACTTCGGATTGGAATGGTACAGTCATCAAGGTGCCTATGCATGAGGCACTATCTCTGTCGAATAATTTGTTTTTTACAGATCATGTGCATTCAAAAAGCGTCCAAGTCTTTAAGTCCAAAACAATTAGAATTTTCATAGAGTTTACACTTTTAGGGTAGACATAAATAATAAAAGCAAGTAAGACAACTGATAATTCCTGCCCTTAGATCATATTTACATTAAGGAATACCTTGAGGAGTTTTAAAGTACGAGTATCATATATATCTTAGTCATAATTAATTAATTATTTATTAAAGAATATTTTCAAGTAATTTCTTACCTAGCTTATAGTACAGTACATATTTTTAAACTGCCCAATATCTCATTCTTCATGTTATTATTATAAGGGCACAGCCCCGATCCTTCTAGCTGGCACACACAGCCGTATGATCAAAAAATGGGACTGGCCAGAAGTTATTATATTATAAAGTAATTTCTCCCCTTCTTCCGAACGCCTTCCAGTGCAACGGCAGCACACTCGGGGCCCACTCGAGAGGTCCAGGCTCGAGTCCCGGAGAGGGCATTGCTCATTTTTCATGTATCTTGCTTCAAAATATCCGAATGACCTTACAGTAGCGTCCGAACTAAAAGCTGGCGGATGATGATTCTTCACCACCAGGATTTGGCGATTAGGTCCCCTAATCCCTAGTCGCCTTTAAAAGGGGCAGGATATAAGGTATTTTCTCCCTTCCTTCTGCACGCTTCCGCAGTACAACGGCAGCACACTCGGTTCGAGTCCCGGCGAGGGCACCGCTCATTTTTTATTTCTCCCGCTTTAGAAAAAAATTCTAATGACTCTAGAGTATTCACTTGTGAGTCTGATAATTTTGTTTGCCTGGGAAAAATATTCATTAAGAAATTTTATTTTGTATTCTTTGCTATCGTATTTAGAAAAAGAGATCTTCCGGATTCTAATCTGAAGCTGCTATAAATATGTTCATTAATAAGCGAATTATCATTGCTTTTTGACGCTGAAATGTATTTATTATAAGCTAAAACTTTGAATCTTCATTTTGAATGTGGTGGAGTATTTTAAAGTATGCTGAGCTGGAGAGATGAATATTCTGGAATGTGCATATAAAATAATTATCATGTCAAAGTCATAACGAATTTTTTTTCCTGAGTGTTAAAACGTTTAACATAATATTTTGTTTCGAGGAATATACTTATATGCACTGCGTTTTGGCCGAAGAACAATATATTGAGCAGTTTATAACTGCTTTAGATTAATGCGGCTTGAGAGCGCTCAGGGAGGGCAGGCATAACATAACATGGAACGCAAGATGGCTTGGTAAATGAATTGTTTGTTCTCTACAGAAAGAGCATTACTTTGAGCAATTAGAGGGAAGAGCCTAGCTTTACATTCTCGAAACGTCTGAATAATAGATGAAGATGTTTTATATCGGATATCTTTCGAATTCTCGATAAATTTTTAATTGCTGCCACTTTTTATGTTTCTGATCTTACCCGTAAAAACCTGTAAACAGAAACCCGTACGACTGTACTGATACGAGTAGGCCAAATCTTTGTAGAAACCTGTAGAACTGTAGACATTATAAACGAAATCCCAGTAAAAACTCATAGCCAGAAATCAGAACTTTATACATATCCATTGGCCAAATCTCCATTAAAAAAAATGGATATTTCGTAGATCTATGCCTCCTAAAAACCAGTAGACAAAAGCACGTACACCTATACAGGCACCCATAGGCCAAATCCTGTAAAAACCACCACACAAAAATCCACAGACCAATAAAGGTACCTTTTGGAAAAATCGCTGCACAAAACAATACACAAAAACTCATAAACAAAACCAATAGAATTATATCAGAGTGGAGTAGCCATACATAGAACGGGTATCCATATACAAAATCCCTATAAAAGCAATACACAAAAATAGAATTGTAGATCAAATTTCCATAAAAACATAAACCAGCAGAAGTACATAATTAGGACTGATGAAATGTACAAAATTAAATGGCAGAGAAAGCATGTAGAGTAATTTTAAATAAAATTCAATGCGAATAAATAAAGTTTTTAAAATATCTAGAAGCCTACAAGCCCCTGTCCTTCTAATGCACATCAATATCTATAATATATTACAAATATATCTAAACATATTACAAAATATTTGTATAAATTATCTTTACAAAATTTTAAACTCCCTTTATATAATTTTGAAAATAAAATGAATAGAAAGATAATAATCAAAGTCATGATTCACAACAATCGAATGATATATGTAAGAAAAATAAAGAATATGCAAAAGATTAAATTAGCAACGTAAAATGAATTTTACGTACTTTACAGGTAAAAATACCATTTACCTATATATATTATAATTCATTATTACAAAAAGGTTTTTCATATATCATCTCCAAGGAACATAAATTTAATTAAAGCGTTGAATTATTGGAATAAATTCGAGTCAGTGTTTTAGGTATAATTTATTTAGATTTCTATTGTAGAAAAGAATACTTTAAAAAGTGTATAGAAACATTATTTCGAACCATATAAATTCTAAATAGTAAAAAAATAAGAACGTAAATTTTTACTTAGGAAATACGAATATAACTGACGACAAAATTTTTTTTTAAATACTATAATCATAGATCTAGTCCTTTGGGTACTTCATATTAGTATTCATTATTAAAATTTATTATTAAAAAGAAAGTTTGGACACAATTTTACAGTAGAAAAAGACAGTAGATTATATAATATAAAAATAAAAACACTTCGTGCTAAGCATTTCCTGTATTTACAATGCCAAATGAAATTTATAGAGTGCAAGTATTTAGCAATATAAATAAATCTTCTGTACAGCATTATACAAACACAGTTAAAATTGCTGTTCATTGCTATTAAGCGGATATAAGCACATATAGTTTTGTAAACATTTCTTTACACACAGTTTTATTTACGTTAATACTCTACACAAACAAATAAATGTAGTGCAGAAAATTGTAACTACCATTCCCGCAGTATAACTAATAAAAGAAAATAATGTTTAAATATTAATCTAACTATATTTGAAAGCAATGGTAAAACAGTGCCCTTACAAGACTCATGATCCGAAAAGCTTTGGTTTTAATTGTCTTGTAAAAACTTTCAATTACTTCTGCAAAATTCATACCCACGTAAAAATTACTACACCTAAATCAATTGATTATACAGTGAAACTTTCTTAAAACAATCAACTCCATAATTCTAGATAATGCCAGTTTCCTGTAACCTAACAAAACTATGAGTGATTTTAAGTACTGCTATTTAATTATGTTTCTGACAAATGTATCACTCTCATTTAAGAAAATAACCACTATATGAGGTTTCACTTAATGTAATTTTTTTCAAATAAATAATTCACTTTTTATACTCCCAAGACTAGTACATTTAATATTACATAAATCTTATTCACAAATCTATTTCTATTTCAAAAGCAATTTAGGAAAAACACGTTTGAAATTTCTTCATCAAACTAATAATGAAATTAAGTAGGATAAAAATATTATATATGTGAAACCAAATAGCACAAATATTTATGTAAAAATGTGGCTCTACTCTCATACTTTAAGAAAAAATAACCAAAAGAAAAAAACATGAGCTACTATGATCATCAAATTTTCACATAATTTTAGTAGAGGAAAAAAGATTCCTTAAGCTTGTATCTCTTGTCTACCCCATCAATAAGTAATAAACACATTAAATATTTCAATATTTACTTCATTAATAAACTTACTTTTTTGCTCTCGAAGTATAATTTACTTTTTAAGACCTAAAAACATTCTTTTTGCTCGGCCATATCACATTAGTCGAAAATTGAAATGAATCATGCAAGATCATTTTCAAGTAAGGTATCTCAAATTTATTAGTACATATATCAAATGTTAAAGCATCTACATGACAGCTTTAAATATTCCTAAACCGTAATAAAAAAAATTTCCAAAATACAGTTTCAGTAGAATGCAAACTTCTAGTGGAGAGAGAATCACTATTAGTAAGGACATTGCGCCTAGAAAATAACGTCTCCCTGTGGCAAAAGAAATTCTACCACACAGACTATGAGAAGCGCAAGCCGATCATGCTTGGACACCCTGCAGATACAGATTTATCGCATTCAAATACACCCCGCCAAATAAGAAGGCATTAGCTATTTATACAGATGGCTCAAAGACGGAGAAAGGCACAGGCTGCGCCTAGTGTGTACTCCAAGAAGGGGAAGTGGTTAAACTTGGGAAAGACGACTGACAGACAAAAATACCGTCTTTCGGCAGAGCTTCTTGCATTAAAGCAGCCATCATTTGGAAAATATCAATTAGGAAAAAGGTCACATAAATCGACTCTGCCTCAAGTTTGGAGTCCATCCAGGGCACAAGACAAGGAGTCCTTTGGTGCAGATATTCAGAAAATTCTGCTAAGCATCCCACCAGATGACAGAATTATCCTGATCTGAGTTCCAGCTCATGTGGGTATTACTGGCAACGAAGCGGGAAATGTGCTTGCGAAATCTGCAGCCAATGTCTTTAGTAGATTAGAAAACGCAGTAAGTGTTCCGCAGTCCAATTAAAAAAAAAAATCACGCTCAATAGCCTTTCACAAGAATGGCAGAAAAGATGGGAAAGGGAAAGCACAGAGAACCTACAAGTTCTTTCCGAAAGTTACATGCTCAGTTAATACATACAGCGGAGCACAAACTCAATTCTACACTGACCATGGTCCCTTCCCACATTATCTTAAAGAGATTCGGCAAACGAGCATCAGAATTGTGTGAATGTGGTGCGGTAGGTGATGCAGATCACTTCCTCTTCAACTGCCCACAAACCGATAAACTGCATTTAAAAATGCCAAGCAGTGAATACTGGCCGAAATGGGCGGAGAAAACTTGCGGGAACAAGCAGACGAAAACTAAAATAGAGGAGGTATCAGGCTATGCTCAGCAAGATACTAAGAAATTCTCCCCCTCCCTTCCTTAAGAATTGTATCTTCGCAGCATAATTTTAATATCAATTCAAAATACTACAACAACTGAAAAACACCACTAGAAAAATAGCTCACCCCGTAGAATAGTAACAGGACTGTAAGACAAAACTATTGTAATGTAAATATTACTATCCAGTTTGTATATACTCGATAAAATAATATTGTAAAGCAGTTAAATGATATTGAAAATCCAGTCAATGTGAAATGAATTACAATTTATTTTGATTATCTCGTAAAAGTATTGTAATATGAATTCAGATAATGTTTAAATGTACACATAGCTGTCATGGTTTTATGTAATTATCATATGTAACTTGTACAAGACAGTGTTTGTAATCAACATATCTATGTTCATATACTGGCCTTGTATGCCCATGTGATATTTATATTTATATTTTTACACGGAGGAAATATTCCCTTCTGCTAGGATGGCTATTAACACTGTAAGACTTTTACAACAGTGTAAGACTTTTACAACACTGTAAGTCAGGTCAATTGTTACCTCAGGCGGCGCTCAGTAGAATGCAAAAACTATATTTCTGCATCTGATCTAAACACACTGAACCAAATTATCAAGTCTGAAATTATCACTTTTCAGTCATTAAGCACATTACTTTTCACGATGAAAGCAAAAAACAAATATGGAAAATCAATTTCATGCACAGAAACTCCATTTCACAACTAGTCAGCTATCAGCCAAGTTCTCTCAAACATTCGACACGATTACACATGCATGGCTTTAGTGGTATTTGCTTTCATATTCATAGTCAGTGCTAGTATTTTATTATTTATTACTAATTTCTAAACAGTAAAACATAGTAAAATTTGTAATACAGAAAATCATAGTAAATTATATATTGCATTACTACCTACATCCACGAAGAAAATAGCACCACCATCGCACAACAACTAGAACGGCGCCATATTGCTTGTTTGGGAAAACAGAAGATTTATTATTATATTGATACCAGTTAGAAATCCAGTAAAAGTCAATATAAACATTAGAAATACAATATAAACATTATAAACCAATACAAACAATACAACAATATAAACATTATAAACCAATACAAACCAGTAGAAACTTCTGACATTGATTTGGTTGCATGGGTGTTAATTGATACCAGTAAGAAAAACCCACAGAGATCAATAGAAACCAGTAAAAGTCTGTAGAGACCATCAAAAATGCTATAAGTACCAGTAGAAAGTTTTATTGGTTTCTATGGGTCATTTTGAAACCAGTAAGAAAAACCAGTAAAAGTCAATACAAACCCATAAAATCTTATAGTTACCCATAAAAAGTTTTACTGGTTTCTATGGGGCATTTTTAGCAGGGGAGGTCAAGGAAATCGTACAAATTTCAAAAGCAATACGCGGCGAAGAATGTTTAGATATAGAAGAAAGAGAAATAAAAAAAATAGTCGAGAATGACAGTCGTCAAATGATAAATAAGACTTTGGTGATCTTGTAACACCAGCAGACGGTGAAAGCAGCGATAGTAATAAAGATAATGCGCCTTAAGTTAAACGAATTGTTAATAGAGGTACAGAAACTTTTAAGGTATTTCCCCCATCTACCTAGCGTGCCTTCATGGTGTAGTGGTCAGTACACTGAGTTGGTATTTCAAAGATCCGTGGTTCGATTCCCGGCGAAGGTGGTTGCTAATTTTTCATCTTACCTGCTTCCAAAATACCTAATGTCTCTACAAACTGTCTGATTTTTAAAAGATAACTGACCCTAATGAAGAAAGAAGAAGCTACTTTATGAAAGGTGTTGAAAACCCTTTGCACTCCTTACAGTAAAACGTTTAATGAGTTGCATCAGACATTGTCCCAGGCAAAAATCACCCGTTACTTGTTTTTAAAAATAATTATTGTATCGTATGCCTAGTAATATTAAGCAGGAATAGAAATCCTTTCAACTGACATTTGTTTCTTCCCCTTTCAATTACAACAGTTTTTAGGTTGCGTAAATTATTTATTCGTACTTTCTTAATTTGAACTATATCTAACCCCTTTTCTCCATAAAGAGTTAACTTTGCGAAGCGAGATTTTGCCGTACTCAGAATGTATTGTGTCGTTGTTGTGACTACTCTTGCTTATCTGATATTAGAGAAAGCCCAAGAAATTCCTCATGGTAAGGAGATAAGATTGTTCCTGTCTTTGGCAAGGGCTTTCGGCACCATATAGGAACAATACAACTTTGCTCAGTTATATCCCCACTTTTAAAGGAGAACACTCCAAGGATACAGGTTCGAAGGTCTCCTACCCCCTCTACCCCTACCATCAGCCTATCGACAGGATTTTCGGCTAGCCTCATACATAGAGTGCCCCCATGCCGTTCAAGAGTCTCTAATCACATTTACGGTTGGGCGACGCAATGTGTTCTTAATGTCGTAACCCCCGCATTCGGTAAGAATTTACTGTATTCTAATACAATAATAGTTTAGATAAAAAGATGAAAAGCATTTATACCTACAGATATGATTTATTTTACATAGTTTACTTTTTTAATACATTACCTGATATTTTACCCCTCATAGATTATTTTGACAAAGCTATTACATTGTAGTTTAAATTCTGGAATTTTTAGGCACTGCGTTTTGGATCTGCAATGCAAAAACTGGAAAATTTGAAGGCTATCCTCAACTAAAGTGTGAAGAATTCTCTTGTGTGAAGCCTCCGGTAAGTAAACAAAAACGCCATAGTATATTATCATATTACTGTGATACTAATTGATGCTTGCTCCCTCCCACAATAGGTACTACAAAACGAATTATAATATGTAGTTAAACATTTGAAGAGTCCTGATGAAAACGTAACTTATTGGTCCTCAGTTTCCTCCATAGATTCCTACCTAAATGGAAACGGCTCTCTAACAGTATCACAGTAAATACTCTCCAGTCTCATTCTATCTATGTCATACAAGTGGGTTAGTTTTATAGTAATTCTTGGGCATCAGACCTTTTGTTAGTATTAAGTGCGTTTACTGTGTTCTTTGTGTGTGTTGCACCGTAATGAAACGATGATTTCCTAATCTTCAACTGAGTCCACAGAGTCTTACTCAAACAAAATGTGCTCTCCGACAACATTCGATCAGAATACCATAATAATTCCGAGCTAAGCTAATTTTACCTATACCATGTGTGAGTTGAGATTATAACAAATCAAGAGCACTATACATTTTATTTGGAAAAAATTCTTAAAATTTTCTGTGAATAAACTTTAATATAAAACATCTTAACTCACCTTTGCAAAGTCAGCAGTTATACATAAATTTAAATAAATGTATAATTTTCTAGATAAGTGTTTTCCTTTTGACAATTTTCATATCATAGATTCTGCATTTAATATTTTCTTGTGAACATAAATTCATATCCGAATATACAAGAAACTTTAACAAAATCTAAAACTTTTTACGCCTTTTATATCCAAGAAAGTTTCTACTCTAAAGCACGTACTAAACATAGTTATTTACCGCCTTTCATAAGTAATAGGCAGGCGTATGATTCCAAGATCGAAACGAAGATTTAGAGTAAGATTTCTATCAAACGACTGAAGTTCCTTGCCGAGAAGTAAGAAAACAATTCACATTATAAATACTACAGTCTAATTTCACTGTAATAAACTTCAATGAACTGAAGGTTTTTTCGCTCCATCTGATCTAACAAAACAAAAAACAAAACAAAAAATCATCTCACGAAATGCTGTAAAAATTTATACATGAATCATGCCGGAAGAGTGAGTAGCATAGTCAAATCTTCCGAAAGATATTAATAATTTTATTTTTTAAAAAAAGCATATTAAAAGTTAATTACAATGATTATTACGCTAAATTAAAAAAATGTGTCTATCTGTTTTTCAGTTTCACTATATGTTAATAACGTTACACGAAAAATTACTTAACATAAAAGTCATATTTTAGATCCGTCCCTCCAATTACAGATTTTCATTTAAAATACGCAATTGCAATTATAAATAAACATCAGCTTTGAAAACAGTGCTTTCTGATAGCTCAATTAAAGAGAACACAAATGGAATAAAAAAAAATGGGTTCAAGCTCTGTCTTAATGATGGTTCAATGGTTCTTTGGCTCGCGTGACTCAGTGAATGTCACCCATAAGTAGTCTTACGTGTTTTACGAATCAAATTCATTTTAGGCTCGATTTTTTATAAATAGATCAGATATCTTTAACATTACATGCAACATAAGCATTGAAGTATTTATAGAATTAAGTATATAAATCTCTTTAAGGTTCTGGGTAGTTATGGACATTTTTAGTAGATTATCCATATTTTACGGGACAACATGCCATTTTCATCTTCATTACATAATATACCTTTCTTTAATTTTGCCACTATATAAATGACAACTTTGATGAATTGTAACGACTCTCAAGACTATTAGACTGCAAACAAAAATTCTGTAATAACTGTAATATATTTTAATAATTGTAAAACCTAATAGCACAATTCCGAGTTCTGATTAAAATTCATATGTAAAGACACAGCTTCAAATTTTGTCTTTCGGACCTATAACTATTAAAACATATTTGTAAAATCTCTAAAATTCTGTTCTCAAGATCTGTAAAATTCCCGTGTCTATAGGTTTCGGTTCTACGCAACGTAAGCGGAATCATTGTAATTCTACTAACACTCCTCATAAATGCCTGATTGTCCCCGCCTGTTGACCCTGCCTTTGGGTAGAGGTAGATAACTTCCAACAGGCTGGACAATGGCTTGAAGCAAAACAGCATTTGAACCGTCCAATGAGAGGTGAAAAAAACACTGTCACCAAAATAACGATAGTATTCTCTACAATCCTTAACACCGTGCCGCCCAGGCATGAAAGTGGTTAACGACTCAGACTGCCGTACCGAAGAGCCTAGGCACGAATCCTGGAGAAAACGTGGATGTTTGTAAATGTACAGTGTCTGTGCAGAACGGGAGTACTCTAAGTATGCGTAGAGCCGAAAGTTCTCTCGAGAGGTTGCTGGGGTAGGGTAGGAGAAGTGGAGGAATAGGAGACACTCGGACTTGTTCTCTGGAGGCTCTCTTTCAAAACTGAGACAGAACAGACAAAAACCAGTCTGTCATCTGCACCTGGTTACTCAAGGCTCTAGCCAACGACAGACGCAGTCTAATGCTCCTTGCCACGATAATAATTCCTGGGCTTGTTCTGATTCAGAGAAATGAGATTAGTAACAGCAACAACAACACTGTAACACCGCAGAATTTTTATCAAATGATGGTACTCACGTATTAGTACAACTACGCTATTAGATGTCGCCTGAATTTTCAGAATAAGACAAATTCTGTTAATCTAGTGCATAACAATTCTTCAGTTTTAACAAGTAACGCCACGTTTTCCATATGCATTTTTTTTTCTTCTATTCCGAAATCCAACGGTTTTTATACATAAATCGTGATATTTTTTTGTTTTAAATTCAGTTTTGAAATATGCACTTGGAGAATTTGCCTTCAACGAAAGAAATTGCAATAAACATTCTCCAAGTATGCGTATTTTGCCGCGAAATCACTAAACGGAATAATGCTATAAATTTATTCTTAAAAGCGATCGCCGAAAAATTTTCGAGAGAATAGAAAGAAAAGGTAGGTTTATTGATTAATATTTGAGATAAATACATAATTGAAATATAAAATGTATATGTAATAAATACTTTTTGGTTATAAGTCTGCAGTCTTTTTCTACTGTAAAATTGTGTCCAAACTTTCTTTTTAATAATAAATTAATTTTAATAATGAATACTAATATGAAGTACCCAAAGGACTAATCTATGATTATAGTATTTAAAAAATTAATTTTGTCGTCAGTTATATTTCGTATTTCCTAAGTAAAAATTTACTTTCTTATTAACAAAATCACCGCTGTAGAGAAGTAATCGCCAGCTTGTGGTGACTTGGCAGCATGAAGCATTTTTCTGTCGTTGGGGACTGGTCAACAAATGTTTTAGTTACTGTCCGAATTTCCGAGTCTTCTGATAATGTAATGTTTTTAAGAATACCACAAGTATATGGAAATAATAGGAATTATTATAAAAGGATAAACTCCTGAATATTTTCTAAATGCAGTACATGAAGTGTCTGAAAGTAAAAGTCGAACACTTACATTCTTACATTTTACAAAGTAATTTTCAACATAAAAAAATTAAATAAAATGTAAAATATACTTTATAAAAAAAACTCTAAAAAATCTGATTTTAAATTACGTCCAAAGGGGCGTTTTCTAACGTTTTTTGTGTTACCTTTATTTATTAAATATCATGTTCTTTGCACTTAAACGATAAAATTCAGTTCATCAGCAATGTCGCAAAATTTTTAAAATGCATCTTTAGAATTTCCGAGACATTCCGCGCACTGGAGAAAAAAGGGTTTCCCCCCCCCCCGTAGATTTGCCATTGCGCGCTTTAAATGTAGAGTTTGTTATTCAAAATCTTTTAAAGTTTTACAAAAATATAAATCGATAAAACAAATTCCAGATTCAAATTGGTCTTCCCATACCCATATTCGTAGGGGATTACGTCATTCAAAATGGATGGCTCTATGTACCGTGTTTTATTATGCGAGAAATATACATATATTATGCGATTTTTCATATTTATTTCTTCAAATATAATGCAAACTCTAACATTTGGTGGCAACAGTTTGAAAAGTGAAACGGACATTTATAGTGATTCAACGCAAAATCGCAAAACGAAAACAATAGTCCTTCGGGGGGGGCAAAGCCCCTTTGGACTAATAAAACCTCAAATACATATTGTTTTACCGTAAACGAAAAATAAAATTAATAACCACTAATTTTTAAAAAGTTTTAAACTTAAGAAGAATGAAAACCTATTTCAAAATAAAAATCAGACATATTTTGCATTCTTTTAAATTAAAATGTAAAATGATTTATGAGATTCCCGTTGTCGATATTGAATATTAGTTTAGTTTTTCCTTCGCTTGCTAATTTTCGTTTTGATGATTAAGAAGGGGAAGGAAATCGGGACAAACGTTTCAGGATAACTGTAAGCTCACAACAAAGCTTTTGAGAGATTGGTTATCACTAAGAGGTATTACAAAATCAGTAAACCGAATCCGTCATTAGTAGATGAAGTAATCAAACAATTTAAGACAATAAACACTATTGATATTAAATGACTTCCAAGCAAACGAAAAATTTTTACAGATTCTGAACAGTATTGGATCCTACGAGAAGTAAAGAAAAGCTCAAATTAAATGCCTCTAGACTGACTGGGAAAGAAGAAAAGCTGTATGACAAAAAAAAGCTAAATCCGAAACAAGTAAGTATTGTTTCGAAAATGCCCAGCCGAGGTAAGATAGTTCCCCCACAAGGTGGCTTTAGGGTTGTGATAAAATGGAAAGGAGATGTAAGGTTGCCATATTTGGCGTGAAATTGCCCGTTTGGCGACAAAATTGGCGATATGCCATGGACGGATGATGAACTTTCTAGAAAGAATTCTTACCAGTTTGGCCCAGAATGCTCTCGAAGTCAGGTCAAAAGCTATATAAACCTTGCCTGTACGAGGGGTAGCAGTCTATCGAGTTGATCATCCGTGTAGTGTCGAGTTGGTCGTCGAGTGCATCTAGAGTCTCTTAGTGTATCGCGAATTAGCGCATCGTCGAGTCCATCTTGAGAGTATCGTCCAGTGCTTCCCGAG